TATAAACATTCAACACATCAACGTAAATCAAAACAGATTATTTGCGATTTGGGGGAAGCAAGCCTTCATATTAGAGTATCAATCACTGCAAGTGGCATCGAAATTCAACATACGATGGTTTGAAGCACACATAGATAATTTCATCACTTTGTAGTAAAAAAATACCTCTTCAACACGCGCAGATCCTCCTTGCTCAGCTTACGCTTATTGACAATCTTGACAGCCACTTTTTCCTTCGTTATCCGATGTGATGCAATTTTGACTATTGAATACCGACCCTTCCCTATCGTTTCTCCCAGTATGTAATCTCCAACCACCCTAGTTTCCCCAGAGCTTGGATTATTATCCTTATCTTTCGATGTCACAGACAAAGTCCTTTGCTTGCCTTCAATCTTCTTAAACTCGTCCGCGGGATTCTTCTTCTCCTTCTTATCCCCCCAGAGTGAGAATGTACTGCTGCGAGAACGACGCATAGACAACACACTGGACTCCTTTTTGACCGCCGGTAGTTCGTCTATATTGACCCCCTGGCTCATGCAGGCTACATCCATACTTTTGCGCCTATTGCCCATCATCTGCCCCGTTGATCGAGACGTAGTCAGACCTTGGTTGGGTAATTGTACCAAGGATTGTTTATGCTTGCTCGTAGACTCATGCCCCCCCGTATCACTGCGTGCATGACTACTACGACGCACACGTGAAGGCAGGCGCAGTTGTTGTTGCGACGTGAGCTGTGCCAGTGATTGTTGTTGTGCACTATTGTATTGCAGGCCTTTGTTGTGTTGTGATTGCTGCTGCATGTTCTGCTGCAGCAGTTGGTCTAAATTTGGCTGTGACCCCCTTGGTCCAATAGTTCCTATACTTCCTACACTGCCAACACTCCCCGAGCTCTTCTGTTGACGTAACCCAGACCTCCCCCCCTTCAGTTGGGCGTGAACTGGGCCACCACCGTGTTGTTGTTGTTGTTGTTGTTGCATAAATGTGTCTGCAATACTGCTTGCCATGCTCTTGCTAACTAACGATATAGACGCCACAGACGTCCGGTGTGCACTTGGTATGGCTCCTTCTGGTGCATTCGTATGTGGAATCCGTCTCATACTATTAGGGCTGGTAGGATTTATGGTATATGCTGAGGTCCCTCGCTCAGGTCCACTTGGACTTCGCAGAGCAGGGTCGAATACACCGCCGGGGTTACTGCAGGTTAATACATTAAGTGCCCCCTGGCGTGGAGTTGTGGCATTGCTCATTGTAGCTCAGATAGGGGAATTTGATAGTACACACGGAAGATATATGTAAACTCTGAGTATGGTCAGAATGAGCACCGTAGGGTGGAGCCCATCAAAAAAAGGTAAGTAAACTAGAATACGAATAAGTAACAGTGCTCGGCCGATCTAGCACATGACTCTGGATGCTTAATTCACACCTTGCAATAACTAAGCGATAGTGTTCAGTTTCGAAGCCGGCCTGACTCCGTATTCCGCTGCAGCCTCGATACTATATAAAAAACTATACATGTATGCTACTAGTAGACCAGGTATCCATCAGGAATAACCTTCGTAGTAAAGGTGTAGAGAGTTGTGCGTAACAGTGTTGTTATGAAGCAACGTCTACGCGAACGCATATCATGTACCTTCAAAAGTTCACAACAGCAAATCCCGTCCTGTCAATATTTACACTGCATTCGGCTTCACCGATTATTTACACCAAATGAAACAACTCTCAGACCTCACTCTCTCAGAGTCTCGGACTCTCGGTAGGACCGCACCACACGACCTCAAAATAAATTGAAAATATGTTTAAAAAAATTATTAAAAGCCCTATCCAAGCCCAAACTCCAATTGCTTGCTTTTTAATTAAAAACCAAAACCAAAACAAAAAAAAACATTAAAAAATCTTGGACTGTTCAACAGACAACAGTTCAACAAGATTATGCTTTCAGTGACCACTCTCCACTCTCCCCA